CAGTCATTTGTGTTTTCTTCTCACCCTTTTCCCCACTAAAGAACAAAAGGGATTTCACCCTTGCTGACACAGATGTTGTGTGTCACTCCAGCCCCAGTGTCACCTGCAGCTATTACTAGGCTTTTGCTAAGCACATTTTGTCTCTGTGGAAGACAGTTTATGAGGGTGATGGATTTGAGCTCTTTATTTGCAAATATTTTCCAGTTTATTGTTCCTGTATATAGCAGCTCTGAGTACATTGTTTTGCAAATTGGGACGAGGGAACCACTCTGCCTTCTGGGGCTGTGCCATGGTGGTGTTTTACTCCACTGGAATGAACTCTGTAGGAAAAGTACTGAACAGGGCCTGCTTCATCCTCACTGAAACTGGCTGCTGTGGCACGGTGTACAACAACTTAGTACATAAAGCAGAGAACCTTTGCGGTTGAAAGCAGGGGAAGCTTTAAGCAGAATGAAGTAACATTAGAATGTGCCTAGGATTCAGAATAATTTTTAATAACAGAAATTATTTTTATATACAGTGATAAGTTTTCAGGGTTTCTACAAACTGATGTCGGAATCTGATGTTTCACTCCAACTCCATGGCAATTCCTTGACTCAGAATCTACTTGCCACAAACTTGCCTGAACAGCTGCACAGGAAACAAGTGTTCTTTCAGTGTGTGTTTTCAGAGGGCTTCTGTCATTTTAGGTGGGCTGACTCAGGAGGACTGGCTGAAATGCAGGTGGTAAAAATGAACTCTTTGCTCTATTTCAGATTACCTCTTCCTGTAGAGTCTGAGTGTGATCATCCCATCCTTTATTTATAGTGCTCAGGTATTAGTTCAGTGCTGGTAGAGTTGAGTATCTCTTGTAGAGCTGCTTTTATTGCTGCTTCCTTCAACACATTGACGTTCTCATGTTCTTCATCTCTCATGCATACACACTTGCTGAGCCTGGCTTAACTTGACATTTGGGATTTTAGAACAATAGATGCACCTACACACTTGTCAGAAATACAATATCTTTGAGATCACGATTTCTCTGTTCAGTACATACAGCAGCACTCTTTCCTTTTCCTTTGCTCTTTTTTTTTTTTTTTAACTAAGTAAAGTGGTATTTGATGAACCCTTGCTGCTTCTCATTTTGTGCATCCCTCCCAAAAAGCCCTAGTGTAAATTTTTTTTTTGAGTTCCCAATGGAGCTTTACTGATACTTTGAGCTGATTTGCTTTTCTTGCCGCAAATGATTGTTTCTCATGTTATGGATAAGGTGAGAATATTGTGAACCCTTTTTTTCTCTCTGCCTGCTCTAGAAAAAACACCCCATAGTATTGATGAAGCCAAAGATGATTGCAGGATAGACACTGACTTGTCATTATTTTCACAGTTTTCAGTAAAGCAGCAAATGTAGGCACCTTGTCACTTACAAATGTGCTGCTTTTAAGCTCAGTCTTTTATGCACAAACTTTCTGCACTGTGTGTGGCCAGGAGGACCTATTGCTCCTGCTATTATCTCAAGAGTGGAGCTGAGCACGTACCTTTAAAATCTATTTTTCCTTCACTCTGACCATTCCAAACTGCTTTCTGAGACTGACACAACTTGTCTTCAGGCTGTCTTCTTTCCCAAATCCATGCCTGTAGTGCTGATACTGAGCAGAGCTGCTCGTGCCATCTGCTGCTGTGTGAGGATGACAAAACGGAGAGCAAATGTAATCTTGTATAAACACAGCTTAGAGGCAAGCTAAAGGATAAAATGTTCTCATTGCTGATTTTCAGTGATTCCAGACACCTGGGAGTACCCTGTAAGGTAACTGGAAAGGGTACTTGGCTAGGTGGTATTAGGGCACACTAAAGTCAAAATGAGCTTGCAAAATTGAAATGTTATATGTCAGACAGGGACACACAATAAAATTAAGCTTAATTTAAAACAGGACTTTGCAGTCTGATGCTACAAGGCTTCATTTCTATGCATATAAATGCTGAATTGTACCTTTCTTTTTTTTCCCCCTCGGCGTTGTTTGTTTGTCTGGGTTGAATACAACTCCCTTTCTTTGCCAACCTCCAAGTACCAGAATACATCCCTGTGGTGGCTGCTTTACATGTACTTTTTATGGAATGGTAAAAGGGGCAAATAAGTATATAATGGTTAACTGCTGCTTATAACAACATTATAAATACAAAGCATTATTCATAAAATTTATAAATATTCCTTGCCTTGGTAGTTGGGATCAGTGTAGAAAGCTTTCCATCAGTGTGTTGCCAGCACATGTAGTCATGTGTAAGTGAGGAGAAATGGGGCTCCCCTCATCCCAATGCCCTGCTGTGCCCTTCCTCTGTGCCTCTGGTGATGTCACTGTTTTGCTGATGTGTCTGTAGATCCGATACAAGCCGTGAAGCTGTTTGTAGGTCCATTCACAGGCATTCCTCTTAACGTTTGGTGATGATTTCAATACACAACACTGCCTGTCTGGTGGGAAAGGCACTTGCTAGAAGCATTCTCTGGTGCTGAAGCACACTTGGGCTAAGGTGCAACAGTTGTTACATGCAGAGGATGTTGAAGAAGCAAGTGAAAGAGGCTTCTGATGAATGTAAATAGGCAGGATTTCTGATGGCTGCAGACACACCCTCAAGGAAGTGTAGATATGCATCCTTCCGAATATGCACAGGTGGAGATCAGACCAGCAGCTGTGTTCAAATAAACACTCCTTGTAGATGGAGTACTCTCCTTTCTGGATGAAGTAGCTCTCAAATAAACCCATTTGTGTGTTCTAAGTCTCGTGAAAAGTTGTAAGAATCTGTACTGCACATGTGGTTTAAATTATTTATGTTGGTGCCATTTAAATAAAGTGTGCGTGCCTAAGTTGTGCTTCCTATAATAATGTGATTTTTATTATTTTGAAGCATTTAAAATTGATTTAGAGATGCTGGGTTTTCCCACAACTTGTATGAAATCTGTATTACAGGTAAACTGTAGCATGTAGTTGATCAAAACAGAGGATACTGCTTGAATAGAGGAAAAGTGATAGGTACCACAGAGACATGTGGTTGAGGAAAGGGAAAGAAAAATGCTGAGCTGATGTGGAAGCTAGCAGAAGAGAGAAATAAGCCATTTATTTGCACCCAAGTAAAAAGTGATCAGGTTTGAAAGTTGTGTTTCAGTCAATATTTTGGTTTTACCAGAAGAGGATCAGTTCCTAACCTGCATGAGATCACTGAACCTCCATCTCTGAAGAGCCACTGTTTTGCAGTCAGAGTCACAGAGAGGCTAACTTTCCTAATACAACTGTAATACCACAGAGCTGTATTTATTTTGGTTTTACTCCTGGATTTTTTCTTTAATTTACTTTGGATAGACAGACTTTTATTAAAACTTCAGCTGCTTTATATCACAGGCTTGTTGTTTTTAAGGTGGTTCTTTAAAAAACTAAATTCTCTCTGCAGATTTCACTGGTGGACAAAGCAAGGGCAGGTGCCCATCCTCCATTTGCCAGGATTCTTGCTTCGTAATGTTACTATCACAAGTTGCTCTTGCTTGGGGAAAGGTTGACAGAGCATCAGATTTTTCGTAGGTTGGATTATCTCCTGTATGAAGTGCCAGGATTCAGTGTGGAAAACTGAGCTGTGTTCAGCTGCAGGCTTCCTGTGTGCTATCAGTGAGGTGATTAAAACTCCATCTTAAGTGGATTGCTTGTGCAGTGGGAATCAAAATACCTCCTGCTTCACAAGGGTGAGGAGGCCTAACTTGGGCATGGAACTAAAAGTGCATAGCTGACCAACACCCCTGCCTGGGTAGATGCTTTGGGACTGAGCAGCAGCACATTGTTCCTTCAGGTTGCATCATGGGGCTGCGGTTTCTGGGGTTTGTGCAAACAGCAGCCACATTCCAGCCTGCTTTGACCAGGTGATGCCAGGCTGGTGGCAGCAGCAGTGTCACAGTTTGTGCTCAGCTGAATTCAACAAGCCTGTTTGCCTTCTGTTTACAGGGCAAGATGCCTGTTCAGTAGGCAAACTGGAACACTTGGCTGCACCCTGAATGGGAAATTGCCCCTTCCGATTGCAGCCAGTCTTGGAGGTGCACGTAAAATGGCAAACCCACTGTTTTCTCTGAGATGTCCTGGGCCAGGCTTCAGTGTGTCAGAATAAGTCATGTACTCAAGACTTTCTGTTCTAGGTCACATTATGCCACACCTGTCACATTTTTTGTTGTGATCTGGCTCTAAATGCTACATCTGCAACCAGTGGGCACAGCTGCCTGTCCAAAAGGGGCATGGACTGGTGGTTACATGGCATGGCTAAGGAGCTGGACATACAGTGCCTTTCTAAGGTCTGTTAGGAAAACACATGGCCAAGTGGTTTATCCAGGCAAAAGTGAAGGTGGGTCACAATGGACCTTGTGTTTGGGGACACTGCTTAACCAGTCATCCTCTGAGGACCATTAGCCAAGTGCTTTGCTCTTAACTCTGGTCATAATGACAAGTCATCTCTTGCTGTTTATCGCCTTTTTCTTCACCAACTCTGTTGGGCTGCCATGCACTATGTAAGACTGTCTGTAGCTCTGGTAGCCCATGCTCTTGCATGTACACAGAGTGCTGAGAGCAGTGCAGAACCTTGCTGATAAAAGGCGTCTTTATTCCCGTTTCCCACGGGGAGTCCAGCCTTGGCCCCATTGCGGACGGGGCCCGCAGCGCACACAGCAAAGGGGAACGTTTGCCCCGTGTCCTGCTCCGTCAGGCACCGTCCTGCTTTGCCTTGCTTATTCTCCGGCTGCCAAAAAGGGGGGCGGAGGATTGCATTGTCGGTGCCGGTGCCGGACAGCCGCGTTGTCCGTGCCGGCACTGCCCCGGGTTGTGTAACGCGGCCGGACCGCGCTGCCCGTGCGGCCGCAGCGCCGCGGGGCGCAGGGGCGGCACCGGGCCCTGCTCGGGCCGGTTCGGGGCCGGGCGGGGCGGGCGGAGCAGCCGCGGCACCGCCCGCCCCCAGCGCCATTGGCGGGGCCGGCCCGGCGGGGGCGGGCGGCCGGGACGGCGGCGGGGAGCCCGGGCCGAGCGAGCCGCGATCGCCGCTCCGCACCGCCGTACCATGGTGGGGGATCACTGCAGCCTCCCCGGTGAACGGCCCGTGCTCGCCCAGAGTCCCAAGCCTGGATTAAGCTGCAAGATGGTCCTGCAGGCGGTGGGCAAAGTGCTGCGGTAAGCACGGGTCCGGCGGCGGCCGCGGCGCCGGGCAGGGCAGGGCGGCTGCCCACGGGGATCCCGGCACAGGAGGGAGCTGGAGCCGGAGTAGAAACTCCGGGCGGGCCGCGGGCGCTGCTGAGCCCCGCTCCTCTCCGGAGCAAGGAGGGAGGCTGCTTTTGGCTCCCTCTGGATCTTGAGTGGCCATCGGGGAGGCTGGAAGTTGGAACAGCAGTAAGCGCTCGGAGGGGAACATTTGTTCACCCTTAATACGGCAGTCGGGTTTTGTTTGCCCTTTCATGAGAACTGAGTTTCCAGGACGTAATCAGACAGTGAAGGTCCTGGCTTGCCTGAATAAGGAGTCTGACCAAGATGCTACATATGCTTTGGCAAGTCTTCTACAGAAATGTTGTAAGATGAGGGGGAAAAATTGCTCATGCAGCTCACAAGGGCTTGTGTGAACACTAAGACGTGGATGACTACTGAGACCAAAACCAGACTCTTTGGCAAAGGATTTGCAGTAATTTGATTCGGAGGAGTTCTGACCCGTTCTGGCTGGTATGGAAAAACGTCACCACAAATATTAGGATTAGGAGCCTCGTTCTTCAACAACTGCAGCTTTTTTATTTTGGTTGTATTCAGATATTTTTCTGGAATCTGTGGAGAGTTGCAGTGCTGCTCCAAAAAGGAGCCTTGTTCCTCCAGCATAACTTTATTTGGCAAGCTTTCGGGTTCGTCCCCGTTTCCTACTGTCTGTTGCCAATTGTTAAATGTTTGTCAACAGAAACATTATCCCTCTCTTCCTCTGTTGACTCATGTCTCTCCCCAAGCGAGTTTAAGAGAGCCATTTATTAAAGCAGAATGTTCTGATCACAAAGCGGCTGAGCTCTGGCTGGGTCTTCAGCTAGAGGAGTTCGCTGAGCTTGAAGCAGCCTTGGTGGGAACAGCTGCTTAGATTTGCTCTTTAAAAAGTCCCATACTGCAGTGGGGGTTTTTTTCCCTGTTAAAAATACTTTCCCGTAGAAAACATTAATTTAAAAAATCGAGGTTTCTCTTTCAGCTTTTTAATAAGTTTAACGCCCCTTTGCATTTTTGGGGGGTAGCGTATCTATAATTCAATATGGTGTTACACAGCTGGTCATATCATAAAATCCTTTGGCCAGCGACTTGCTATTCATGATGTGAACCTTTTGAAGTTTTTGGTAGCTGTTCTATTGGCAACACTCCCAGATGTAAATAGATGGGTGCCTCTGTAGGGAGGAATTGCCAAACCTTTTGTTGAGCATCTATGGCTGTTTATTTTAAACTATAGGTAAGTTCCTGTGACTTACAAGTGAAACATATATTTTTAATTTGTTCAGTGCATGATTTTTTTAAAAAATGGAACATTAACCTCAGCCTTTCTCCTCCCCCTGGAGTACGTGCAGAAATTGTGCATAGTTCTGCTTTTCTTCTGAGATTGATTTTCGATGTGTACTATAAAACTGTAGTGAAAGCAGGAAAATATTGTTGTCACACATTATGATATGTTTTGGACTCGTGAATTAATAGCATAACTTTATTTTGTTGAGCTGTTGAGCTAGATGGGAGTGATTACTGTTTTGTAAATGTTCTTTTAATGTGTCCTTTTGTTCTGGCTTATCTCCTTTTGCTCGTGGTTAGAAAGAAATGTGAAATCACAAAAACTTTATTTAGATACCATACTGGTTTTCTTATTTTTTCTCTAGAATCTGCTTCAGTTGCCTTATCTCATCTTAGGTGTTTTACGTCATCTTGCTTTGTTCTGTAAAATATAAACTCATCCTGTTCTGTAAAGAGCTCAGGCAGTGTGAAAGCACGGGCACTGGTGAGGAGCCAGGTAAATACTACATCCAGTCAAAGGTTCCTTATTGCAGAAACTGGATATTAGTGTGAGCCCCGTCAGTGATGGGGTTAGAAGGAGCCACGTGGGACCTCCTTTAGGCCAAAAATGTGTCTTGTTGGTGGCAGCTGGGACGGGATTTCTCTGAACAGAAGCACCCACAGCTGAGCTTTGTCCACCTTATTGTTGGTAGAAAAGAACAGAGGCCTTAAATGTCCTGTGTCTGAATGCAGAGGTGCAGTGCCTGCAATGATAGAGTGACCACCTCACGTGGTTATACGTAAGTTGTAGTGATAAGAAATTAAATGAGATGTAGTCCAAATTACTGTGATGTCTTGCTGTCTCTTTCAGAGGAAATGTATCAAATACTACTTCTAAGCTTGGCCACCTGGAACTGCTGATGGAGTTTTTTGCAGTCTATACAATGCTAAACTCTGTATGGAGTAATTTTTCTTCTGTTGATCAGGCCATCGCCAGTGGCTTGGTGATGAGATCCAAGGATATCTTGCTTGTGCACAACCTGGTGTTATGAGAAGCCCCCAATGCATTTTAGGCCCTTTTCTCAGGCCTAACTGGGAACTGTCATGATCACAGTTTCCTCCCAGCCTTCCACAGCCTGCCAAGGAATTGCAGAAATTCATAAAGGACAAGGGATAGAATGCCTGCGTTCTCTCTAAACTGCCTCCACTCCCGTCCCTCTCCTGCTTATGAATGATAAAGCTCAGGTATTCTTGTGCAGTAGTTGATGAGTTTGATTTCCTGCATAGCAGATTCGTTGTGTTATTTACTCTGGGTGTGAGTAGTTACAACTAACACTCGCAGCTTTTAACGCACAAGTTGTTCTCATTAGTAGGTCCAGCTCCTCCTGCCTGCTGGGTGCTGTGTGTGCCAGTAACAGCTGCCAGAGGAGGAATCAATACAGCGCGGAGACGAGGAGGGAGGTGTGAGGAAGCACAGAGACTTCATGAGAAGAGCAGTCCTGAGAACCTGAGAAGAGTTTAAAAGAGCGTGGGGGAAAGACAGCTGAACCAGAAAGGGGGGAAAAAATGTAACAAAAGCAACAGATGTGTTCTCAGTCTTTCTAATTAATGTTTTATGAAAGCCACGGTTAGGTTTATTGCTCTTTTAAATTATTTGTGATTCAGCTATGAAGAACTCTAGGGATGCTTGTATCTTTCATCATATTGGTTAGTAAACTGTGTTTAACACTTCAGGGATGGGACCAAGGCTGTGCACTTGTAATGATTAAAAAAATTGAGACACCAGTAGAAAAGTGTCATCTCCCCTTTAAATTAGTCACAGCATAGGTGAGAAGTCCCATAACATGGTGTTTAATCAGGGCTGTTTAATTTCATTTCACTTCATATGTTTTTGAAATATGTTAATTTAATTTTTCCCCTTTTCTGTAATGAATTGTGCTGTTATTTAGCCCATAATTAGAGAGGAAGAAAAACCTAAAATGGGTCCAGTTTTTTCTGGTTTTTTGTTATTTTGATTTCTTTGAGTTCGTGGTTCTTGAGAGACATGGAAGGAGAAAGGGTGAAGGGTATCATGTCAAAACTTAGAATATTATTCTGTTTTTTAGCATTATTTCATTAATTGTCCGAGTTTCTTGTGGCACCATGGGTTCCTGTCAGCTTCCTTGCAGAGGTCTGTGTTTTACTGTCCTCAAGGAGCACAAGAGGAAAGAAGGCTCAGGTTCCTGGCCTCTCTCCCGTTCTTGGTCCCAGTGGGTAACAGAGCCAGCCTTAAGCATTTTTCAGAGCCACATGCTGCTGAGTTCGGGACAAAGCGTTCACTGCCTGTGCCAGTGCCTGAGTCCTGATGCAGATGCTCAGTGTGTTTGCAGTGCTGTGACACTTTGGGTCCTGTGCTGGCAGTTTTCAGAGGCTGTTCCCCATGCAGCTTCCTAGTCTGTGTGTTTCCCTTTAAGTCTCCAGTGGAACTGAGTCCCTCTGGGGTAGCTGACTTTTAATCAGGGATACGGTGGTAGGAAAGAGGAATGATGCAGGCTACAGAGTTGTGATGTCACTGTGTAACATCTTTTGATAAATTACAGTATGGTTTATGTGTACACACTGTCCTGGAAGAGTGTGGAAATGGAGAACTTAAACCTCCCCTTTCTCATAAGAGCCTCCCTTTTTACAGCATTGTACAGGCATTGATTTGGATACCAACTAAAAATAGAACAACCAACCCCACTCTTTTTTGGGTAAGTGCTTTTCAAGAGTGTAGTTACTTGTCTTCAGTGATAGGGTGATAATGATTGTTTCATTTGGATAAATTAGCAAGTTTGAGTTGGCATTCTGGATGCTGCTATGTATTTTTATAGCCAGCACTCAAAAGCTTTTGAAAAATTAAATTCCTTCTCTATTTCTCAATTCATAGAAAGATGAGGAAGAAACCAGCTTGATTTTGACATTGTATTTTGGCTTTTAGGTGATCATGCAAGGCTGTCTTGTAGTGTTCATGAACTGGGACATGGATGGGTAGGAGCAGAGAAGTTCCTCCTCTACTGCCTGGACGCCCATGGCTGAAGACAGCTGTTGTCGGTGATGCTTGTGTGTATCAGCAGGACTAAAGCCAATATTTAAAAAATCAATCCTGTTTTATTCTAATTTAGGCAGAAACATTTTTCAATTATTTAGTCTGGTTCACAGTATTAGAAAGTAATTAGAAGAGCCTTGTTTAACACTAGCTAATCTGATTAATGCAAAAGCCTGGGACAGACAGAAGATAAGGGAGGGAGGACAGTATGCAGAGAAAAGGGGCTTATAGGCAAAATGCTCTTCAGAGCCACATTGGCTATTTTTATCCTGTTCTTTTTCTTTCTCCCTCCCACAATTTTCCATTGTACCGAAATAGTTCAAAATGTTTGGTTCAGGGCAGCTGACATCACTAGTTGTCATGCTGTGTCCTGCTGAATATTTCTGTAACAGGAGCTGCTTCTCCATACAATGATGGCCTTTTGGGACTCTCAGCTGCTCAGAAAGGACTGGTGACACTATGGGGCAGTAACATCTTGTGCCTTGGCAAGGGGTGACCAGGCAGGAGGGGCTCTGGTGGCTCTTCTGTGTGAATGAGAGCATGGATGTGCTTGTGGAGATTGCTCTTTGACACAAGCGTCCTGTCCTCGGGACAGAGCTGGTGACAGTAG